TGGGCGGTGTGATACTCCACTACCTCTCCCCTTCCTTCTGTGCATGTATGGGCGTGTACGGGAGTTCCTGTGAGTGAGTGCTGATAAAATTTCGGCAGACAATCATGTTCATAACAGTTAGATATGAACATACAGAAAAATAATATTCCTCTTTCTCTTGTCAGCCTCGAGTTCCTTAGATGATCTCCTTCATTGTTAATCCACCGCTACCTTTCCGTGGCAACGTTGAGAATCAAAAGGGCGACATCCCAGAGACTTCACATGGAGAGTGCTACTGGAGCCAACTGGCTGGCTGCGCCAGCGAGAAGAAAAAAATGTTGCTGCGGCAGTTCTGTTTTCTTTGGCTCACGACTTCACAAGGGGAATCGACCTCAGCAAAAAGAGGGTCGGAGGTAGTGGTGGTGTGAATGATCAAATCTTACACACTGAAGCAGATCCACATCGCCTAAGGACTGCAACAGGGTTCTCCCTACCACCATCACCTCCCCTCAGCCCGCCCATAGCGTCTCCCAATACATCCTCTGCAGATATAGCCCTCACTAGGCACACGAAGACCATCCTCACCCAACTAGCTGATTCCCTGAGCTTCTGGCATTTGGCCAAAAAGGGGGATGAACCTGGCTCCCAGCGTAAAGTCCGCTAGTAGTTACTGATCAACGTACTTTTAGGGCATCAGGCCCCGCCGGGCACGCACGGCCTCGAACCGGCACCCTCAGCCACAGGGACGAAGTCTCGTAACCATTACAACCCTTGGAGGTGTTATAATGTAGCATCCTTGAACTCACACCCCACACACCGCACCACACCACACCACAGACACAGCAATCAACACACACTCCGCTTGGACAGCGCGTGGCCCACCACCAGTACTTAACTCGGTCACTCCAAGGCGGGCCAACTTCCTCGGGTTCCACGGACGCCTTCACAGTAGTTTACTCGATCGATGTACTTTTAGGGCATCAGGGCCCGCTGTGCATGCACGGCCTTGTGAACTGGCACCCTGCCAAAACAAGGAGAAAAACGTACATACCACCTCCTTGGTGACCGTGGTGCCAACTGCCATTTAAAGGTTAACCCGTTTAAATCTAGCCTACGTACACCCTAAGTACAGGGCTGCTGCTACGACTGCACTCCCTCTGGACGTGCTGGAAACCACCTAGGACAGGACCAGGACCTATTGCTTGGAACTTCCGTCTGGTTCTCCTAAATTTGTGCACCTCCACATGGTACTTCAGGATTTGCAAATTTGCCCCTGCCAGATTTTACTTACCGTTCTTTTCACTGACAACTTACATATCCAATCCACCCATCCAAGTTCATAGTCGTGAAGGTAGACGTCCTCTGAGCCTAAAATTGAGTCACGGACAGGCCCAAAGTAGTACTCAGAAAAATCACGTAGAATCGCAAAGATTAGGAGATGTTTACAGGCAAGACCTTGCAAAATGGACATGCATTTGTTAGAAAGCTGAGCTCAGGGGGGGGAAAAGAAAAACAAAACAGAAGGATGCAGAAAAACAAAGCAAAACATGCTTTGTTAAAACTTAAAAGCAAAAAAAAAAAACACCAACGGACCTAGCTCAGTTGATACACCCATGAACTGTTGAAATAAAGACCCAAGTTCGAATCCAGATACAATCAGATGACCAGAGTAAAATCATTCTGAATTACATGGGGACGGTCAGTTCAATGATGATATCTCAAGGCCGTCGCCCTCTTTTTTTTTTTTTAAGCAAAAAAAAAGGAAAGAAAGAAAGCAAAATAGCCTCAGGGCATACTCACACTAGCACTTCTGAAAATGCATCGGACTCCAATGACGACCACACCTGGATGCATCTGACTGCGATTACGTCCATAAATAAGTAAAAAAATCCTCGTGTGAGTATGCCCTCAGGGACGCCTGGCCTGTGCTGAATGGTACACAAATGTGGCTCCCGACAAACAGAGGATGAGCTCAACTCTTGATGTATACCAAAATACTACTACTGTCTTCACCCGAATAGAATGCCTGGTCATTATGGCTGCATCTAGACTGAAAGTTGCCCCAAAAATGGCTATAATGACCGGGTGTTCTATTCGGGTGAAGATGGTAGGACCCTGGGGGTTAGCTCCCTTTGAAGGGGTGAAAAAAAAAAGTCTCAGAGACACCAAACTTAGACGCAGAGGGTGTTACATTTCGATGGTCCGTTTTTCAACCACTTGTCTTTCGCCTTCATAGGCATCCCTTAGCCACCCACTCTGTGTCGTCACCCGGCGACCTAGCACAGCTACAGTTGAGAGGCCTGGATCACTAAGAAGGGATGCAGTGCAGCTCGCCAGGTTGCAGGAAAAAAAAGTGCAGATCCCTCCAATTCAATATTTGTCCACGGCAACGAACTTTGACGTAGAGGGTTTGCACAGGAGAAAGCGTATTGACTGGCTGTGAATGCCTCTGCCTGCAGCCAGAGGGCTGCCTGACATTTCCCCGTTGTACGGATCCTCCATCTCTGGGAATAGCAGACCTACTTTGCCACACGGGATGCTATACTGGCAATATGCTCACCGGTGATGCTCCTTGGTGTTCCTTGTGTGGAATCGGCGTGCCTCGTCTCTGGGAATAGCACACCTACTTTGCCATACGGGATGCTGTACTGGGTGTATGCTCACCAGTGATGCTCCTTGGTATCCCTCGTGTGGAATCGGCGTGCCACTTGTGGTGGCTGTTTAATGGCCATGGTTAATGGCACCGGTACTGATGGTTGTTACATTCACTACCCTCTTTTACGTCTTTCCCTGTGATTGTCAGCGTAAGCTTTGTTGCTAAAGGTCATACTAATCCCGGACTCTTCCCTTCCCGGCTTGGCTGCAGAGCGTCAGAAGGAAGGAAGGAAGGAAGGAAGTAGGTGATGTGGGAAGGGATGAAGGGAGAGGGATTTGGGTGAAACAAAGAGTTACACAGTAAGAAAATTATTCCCCTGGCTACGTCGTCTATATATGTGGAGTCCAAAGGGAGACGAGGGATTTCCCCTAGGGATAAAGCCTCATGCATGTGACAGCAGCAGGTGGGTGCAAGAGGGTTGATCTCTGCACATTGCCGTCCTGACAATGTAGTCAAATGATCAAATTAGGAAAGCATGCTTCTGCAGGTGCATCCCATGAGGACCGTTCAGACTGACTGTGGTAATTTATGTCGCCCGTAGAGGATGGTACAGGCTTGTGTTCCACACCACCGTTTGTTGTAGTTGCACTCTACACGATGCAAGGTACAGGCTTGTGTGCCACGCCACCATGTATCGTAATGGCGCACTACTCGATGACAAGATGCGCCCCATCACATGAGGACCGCTTCCGTGGTCTGTGATGAGTGGAAACACATTTCATCGTTACGAGTGCTTCATCTCCCTCCTTGTCCTCTGTACCCTAGACTGAAGTTTGTTTTGAGAAAACCCTGCTCATCTTCAGGGCTATATCGTAAAGTGCGCCTTGGGTACTCGTGCAGAATCTTCTTGATGTTCATCAAGTGTTGGATAATGGCCCGGACTCCCGTGGTGTAGTCAGTGCACAAATGCGTTCAAGCCTCAAGGTAAAGATGGTCATCTAATTGTAGTCTCATGGAGAATCACCTTTTTTTTTCTTTTTTTTTTTTTGAAACAACTCCGGCCCTTCTATTCTGGGGGGCATCAGTCCGGTTGCTTATCACCGGCAAGCATGAGTTTCAAAGTACAAATTATTTGTAGGAAAAGAGGAAAGCCTTACCCTTGTGGCCCTAGACGCCTAACAAGGGGGGGATTGCTACAACCGATCCCTCTTCCCATACCATAGCCTCCCCAGGGATACCTCTGTTGGTCGGGAGGCTTGCTAGCAGCACCCAGCCACACAACAGAAGGGTCCCCAGGGAAGGCCTGGCCCGGGGGGGGTGTTCTAGCAGTCTCACGGGCCTCACATCCTGTCACCTTTTCACGGTGTCTTTTTTTTTTTTTTGTAAAAATTAAAAACTCATTTTCCTTTCTTTCTTTTCTTTTTTTAGTACCATAATGATGCACATCGTCAAGTGATCGTAGAAGTGTCGGTGTATAATCCCACCCTGCCTTCACCGCTAAGGCGGGTCGTTGCATTGGGGCCAAACTTGTCCAGGCCTCCCAGGTGGGTTGCATTTGGAATGGGTAGAGCGGTGTCTGCAATGATGTGTGCAAACTATGTAGAGTGGAGGAGGAGGGATCTGCAGAGCTTGAACAAGTCGATCGTCATTCTTCTGGTGTTGAGTTCTGAGCTTTTTCTCTTCCACATGCTTGTTGTGTTTAGATGAACAGCAGCGATAACGTTATACAGGCAGAGCTGAGTGCAACAGCTGCAGCAGCAGCAACAGCAGAAGTCACAGCTGGAGTTGCAGAGGATGAAGAGGATATGGCGAAGCAAGGGAAAGCTGTGGAGCGTTCGATTGTGTTCCGCCGGGCTTTCACGCGCCGTGGGACGATTCCGAAAGTATCACTGGCCTCGCTTCGGTGCTCATCCCAGATTGCACCAGTCCAGGTCCACGTCCCACGTGTGCTCAGCAGGTTGAGGGAGGAAGATGCAGCAGGTCAAGGGGTTGCGGTGGCTGATGACGGGCCACAGAATCCCAACGTAAAGCCAGGCAGCAGCCAGCACCCAGTTTCCAAGAGGTCGGAAGCAGCCAGGGATCCAATTTCCAGTGGAGCCCGGGGAGGGGAGGATGCGCAACGGAACGAGGGTACCAGGGACGATCGTCGTCATCATGGTCGGAAACCGGACTCTCCGGAGCAATTATTGATCAATGGAAAGGAGAACAGGACAACTCAAGCGGCAGCCACCGCAGCAGCAGCAGCGGCAGCATCTGTTCATGTCGAGTCTTCCAAGTGTGATCTTTCTGCGTCCACTGTTGCCAATCCAGTAGTTGTGAAAGAGCAAGCTACTGAGGCCTCTACTGAGAACACTCAGCCTCCACCCTCTGCAGAAAGTGAGAATTCCAGTGAGGCGTTCACAGGCAGTATGCAGCCTGATGCGCTAAGCTCTGTTGAGATTCGGTCATCTGGCGCGGCAGTAAATGCGGTGCCGTTTTTGAAGGGGGATCAGCACAGATCAAGCAATGCAGCTCTGAAACCTCCTCCCTCTCCTCTCCCTGCTCCTACTCCTCTCTCTGCTCCTACCCCACTTCCTCCTACTGCCGACGATGATCATCGAGATGATGCTGTGGTACCAAGTGATCCTGCTGCAGAAGCTGCAACCAGCACCCCCCTGGCATCACTCCTCGCTTCCCGTAAGGCTCTCCTTACTTCTCCTTACACTAGGATGAAGGGTGCTGCCTACCACGACTCATTTGAAAACAAACCGGTGAATGACAAGAAGAAATCAGGGCTAGCAGAGGCAGAGCCCACGGCAGACCTTCAAGAGATGCGAGTGGGAATGGATGGGTTTGTCACTGCTGCCGTGTTCTCTCGGAGCGGCACTGAGAGCGGAAAGAAGGCTAGAAAGGCGAACCAAGACACCTTTCTGATGGAGTTTGGACCTCAATCCCACCAGGCAATGCTGGGGGTTTTTGATGGGCATGGGGTGAATGGAAGGATCGTGTCCGCTTTTGTGAGGGATTCTCTGGCACAATCGCGGCCGGACAATGTGGGAGCTGCAGGCCAGCCGATGGTAGAGAACTTGCGGAGGTCCTTCCTCTTCGTTGACCAGGTGCTCAAGCGAACGATGCCAGGAGTGTGTGAGTTGAGCGGATCGACGGCGCTGATTTGTTGTTTACAGGGCAAGAAGTTGATGACCGCGTGGGCTGGAGATAGTCGGGCGGTGCTTGCCCGGGAGGCGAAGTCAAACGGCACGCTCGAGCCCGTACAGCTAAGTTGGGACCACAAGCCTGGAAACCCGAAGGAGAGAGAGAGGATACTCGCTCACGGTGGTCGGGTTGACCGCATAGTGAACGATCGAACGGGCGCTCGGCTCGGTCCTTTGCGCGTTTACCAAAAGTACTCTTGGTCGCCTGGCTTGAGCACTTCTCGTGCTTTCGGAGACACGCTTGCTCACGAGGTTGGAGTGACAGTCGAACCGGACATTAATGTGGTGATGCTCCAGTCGTGTGATCGATTCCTCATCCTTGCAACAGATGGGGTGTGGGAGTTCATGTCGAATGAAGAGGCTGTGGACTTGGTCAAGACTGCAAACGACGCGCAGCATGCAGCCAAGCTCTTGGTGGAGAGATCACAGAGGAAATGGCAGGAGCGTGAGGGTGATGTGTGCGATGACACAACAGCTTTGGTGGTCATGTTCAGGCATGAAGTCAACCCTTTGAAACAGTGAGGGCATGCTCTCGCCAGGACTTTTTCGACTGAGCTCTGGATGTTGTGAGGGTCAGATGCATCCAGGACTTGCCATAGCTGCAGTCAGATACGTTCACGAGAGTGCACATCTGGTGAGTATGCCCTTATTGGAAACGTGTGTGAAAAGACAACTGCGTGAGCGAGCAGAACCCTAGGGAACTCTCTGAATGACCGACCACCTCAACAGGATGGGGCGAGCGACCAATCACACCTAACAAACTGGCTTTTTGCTGTCTAGCGTAAGGATGCACCAAGGGGGCAAGCAATCAATAGATGTCGGTGACCAAGCGAGAGCAGTGGAATGGGGGACTTGGGCAATTCTCACTACCACCTTCCACCAAATAGGATGTGAATGTGGGGTCATACTCTCTGTTTCTTTCCTGAAATCTGGACCAGGCACACTTGTAATTAATGATCCTGTGTTCAGTTCGGAGGGAGACAGAGTTCACGGGCTCATCTCTCTTACGTTCAAGTTGGGAGGAGGAGGAGGTGATTGACCGACCGGTTGACGGACAGAGTAACTGACTGGAGCTTGTTCGTTTACTCAGGGTATGTCCACCCTGGGAATTTCTTTATGCATCTGGCCGTCATTACGACCAAAATTCAGTAGGCGAGTAACTGATGGCCGCTTGCTCGTTTCCTCGGGGTATGTCCTCCCTGGGATTTTCCTTTGTGCGTCTGGCCGTCATTTGAACCAGATTCAGTCGCGAGAGTCCCAGTGTGGCTATGACCTGACTCGGTCCATTGCTGGCGCTCCTTGCGGACAGGTTCTGATTGCATATGCTGTTCATTTATATTAATCAGTTTGGAAATTTGTGTTAAAAATTAAAATTAAATCCTTCCTGCAACGCTTTGAAGCAGCAGTACTGCCGAAGCTAAATTGCCAAACCGAATTCTTTTGCGGCCGAACCGGTCTGCGCCAGGCTGGTAAACCGAAAGTGCGCCCTGCTAGTAGACGGTCTACTTTCCAGAGGCCCACTTGTTCTGATGGTTTAAGACCATAGTAATAGAATGAAATAAATATGCCCTGAAAAAGAAAGAAAACAAGACAAGGGAAAAAAAAAAAAGAAAAAMARAGAAAAAGTGAGAAAATGAAAAAAGAAGAAACCCAAAAAGAAAAAAGAAGAAAAGTAGAAAAGAAGAAAAGAAAAAAAGGAAAGAACAGAAAGAAAAAGAGAGAAAAAGGAAAGGAAAAAGAAGAAAAAGAAAAGGGGGGAGTTTTTCTGAAGCAAATCACCCCGGTTACACATTACTATGCCAATTTAATAATTTATTTATTTATTTATTTCTGTTCACTAGGCTTCTTGTCCCACCGTACCTCAATGCATTTCTCCCTATCACAGCCCCGACCTCCCCGTCTTAAAAATTTATTGATTGCAGTCATGTTTTTCAGCCTGGTAGAGGAGGTTCCGCCGCAGCTCTGACTCTTGCGAGCCTCCATGTAGGAATAAAAAAAAAAACACCAAACGTGGGCCATCGAAGGCGACATAACTCACTGTTTTGATTCTATAGATCACAAGATTCACAACGTTATTGTGCAAATTATCCAAAAAGAGATTGCCTGCCAGTAAACCCGGGCCCGGAGGCGCTCCACTGCATGCCAGGCTTTTCCGAACCGCCAGCGGCACACTGTTTTTCTTTTTTGGCTGACGTCGTCAGCCGTTGTGTTCCGGTAAAAGCCCGAGCTGTGAAATTTTTGCAGTGGGCGACAGACATTTTTCTGCAAGTTTGGAGCCGTGTGCTGGCGGTTTTAGCTAAGACATTGAGGCCGTTGGTCGGTTGCGTTATCTCATTGGAGTATAGCCAAGTGGAAAGGCATCGGTTTTTGATACCGACATGCAAAGGTTAGAATCCTTTTACTCCAGCGATTAATTCCAATTCAGTTTTTGTTTTGAAAGCTGACATATTAAACTTCGGAAACCTCCATTGCGGCTCCCCTGGCGGGCCTGAGTCGTATTATACACTTATTGTGGTCTTCATGTGGTCTTACGTTATCAACTAAATACAAACTTAGGTCTTTGAGAAAAACAGTGTATCGGTTGGGCAAGGATCTCAAGTGCCCAGAAACGGAAGAAACGCTGAGGGTCATCCCCCTCTACATTCCAACATTATTACGGGACAGTGCTCGCTGTCACCAGCACTGGGCAGGCAACCATCCTTAACCCTGGTCGAAGCACGTATTGGACGAGCTCATTGTACAGCGGGGGGGGGGGGGGGGGGGGGGGGGGGGTGGAAGGGAGGTACTTCAGATGTCCCATGAGCTAACTACGGTTATACCCTGGTCTGTGATCGTTTAATATACTGACCTCAGGCGCTAGACACGATGGCCGCCAGGAATAGGAATCCGTACCTGGCTCATCTCTTTACTGATTTACCATAGCCAGTGTCGCATCCCCCGTTCCCGTCGCAGGAAGGCTATACTGACCTCAGGCGCTAACCGCGATGGCCGCCAGGAATAGGAATCCATACCTGGCGCATCTCTTTACCGATGTACCATAGGCAGTGTCGCATCCCCCCTTCCCCTCGCAAGGAAGGCCAAGGTCTAAAGCTGGGACGGCTTGGGAACCTACCCTCAATATGTCCCCTAGCGCAGCCATACTCGAAACTGTTGTGTTGGTTTAGTTCTGTGTGTCCGTAGTGTGGATGTGGTCTAAGGTCTTGAGGTTTCTATTATATTTGCCCTTGTCCAATGTGTCTGTAGAACGTGTCTTGAGGTTTCTATTATATTTGCCCTTGTCCAATGTGTCTGTAGAACGTGCTGTGTGATTCACTGCATATGTGCTGCCTTTGAGCATCCCTCCGTTCCAAGTCCCTAGCCTTCAGTTGTATGTGATCGCTTTTTTTTTTTTTTGTCCCAGTCTGTATGTGCCCAATTTACTCCCTATGTGTTCACTCCACGAACTCTGTCATCTACCCCATTTGCCCCTGCCTGTCCTGCTCCCGCGATTCTACCCCCGGCCACACTGCCACGGAAGACAGAGCGCATAATCTGCTTCGCTCCGCACAAGATGCTCTTCACCCACCATGATGATGCCTTCACAGAGCAATGCACCCCTGGGGTTGACCAACCCCTCTAACCGCCTTATCCCTACCCTGCGAACCCTGGCTCAGAGTGAAGGTTAATCCGTCTAATTGCTCCTGTCTTCCCCTGCAGAGTGCCGACTGCCTCCATGAAGATGACCCAAGAACAGTGCTGCCCTACGACTAGCCAAGCGGGACCGCCCCTCAAGGATGTCCATTGCCCTCCATGATCATGCCTTCACAGAGTGATGCTCACCCACTTGAGAGCCCGCACCCCAAACAATGCCCTATTCACCTACCAGATCCCCCACAAGGTAGTGTTCCCCCTGCCAATCACCTAGTGCTCACCCACTTGAGAGCCCGCACCCCTAACAATGCCCTATTCACCAACCAGGTGCCCCACAAGGTAGTGTTCCCCCTGGCAATCCTCTAATGTGTACGTGCACTGCACTAGTCGGCGGGCCAAGTACGTGAGATGCCGTTCTAACACCAACTGGGGCGCCCAGGAGAGATCCGGGAATCGAACCCGTAACCTTTCCCTTGCTACACCAGAGCTCTAACCAACTGAGATACCGCGTTTGCCTCCCTGTTAATTTGACATAAGATCGGGATGAGAGAGTTGTGCAGCAGAGACAGTTAAAAGGGAAGACCAAGTACCTTCTACTGCGTCAAATTGAAGTCGTATATTGACGACGTAGAAGAAGACTGGACCGCAGAGGAAACAAGGTTTTTTTTTTTTCTTTCCTTTTCTTTTTTTCACTAGCTACCTGCATACCTCACTCTATCTACCCATTTATCTCGTAGTGTAATGGGACGGCAATCCACGTCTTCAGTTCCGTGAGGAATTCTGATGTGACCCTCAGCCAAAAGTTATTCGTATTGCAACTCTACACAACATTTTATTTCCCAGATTTTTTTTTTTTTTTTGCGCTGGAGCTGCCTAGGACCCTGCCCGGGGGTCATGCCCGGCCGGTCACCCGGCTGTGTTACCGGGCACAACTTGGGTGCCCGGTCGCCCGGGAAAACGATCTTGGGTTTTAGTAGTTTTTACGGTCATTTTACGAGTCTCTAACAATGTCCAGCAAAGGCTTGGCTCCTAGCTCTCTCTCTCTCTCTCTCTCTCTCTCTCTCTCTCTCTCTCTCTCTCTCTCTCTCTCTCTCTCTCTCTCTCTCT